TTATGCTTTGGGGCTGTTTATCTTTTAGAGGTACAGAAGTTCACCGGGATCAATGGACAGGGGCGTGTATCGTAAATTCTTGGACCACAACCTCCTTCCCTCAGCAAGAACACTGAAGATGGGTCATGGACGTGGTTTCCAGAATGACAGTGACCCAAAACATATCACCAAGGCAACAAAGGAGTGGTTAAAGAAGAGGCACATTAGGGTCCTGAAGGCATACCTCAGTGCCAACTACTGGAAACATTGCTGGCTTTGCCAACAAGGGTTTCTCCACTAAGTACTAAAACGTGTTTTACGTGGGATCAAATAATTATTTCTGCCACTATACATAGAGTATGGGTTAAATTTGACCTGCTGCAGCCTATCCCAGCTACCATAAATTCTTTTAACCTGAAAATTAATGACTTCTCTTAAAGTGTGTGCAAAGAGGCTTTTCCCGATCAAATTTGACCTGTATGTGGTTAGATGGATTTTAGAGGGAAAGTTTCAGGGAATCCTGAAACTGTGAAAGCATACTATGGGAGGAAGTGGGAGTACTTGAAAAGAACTTCCTCAGAAAGAGGGAGAACATACAAATTTCACATAGAAAGGCCCAAATGTGAATTTGACCAGGACCTTTTGGCTGTGAAGTGACATACTGTATCTCTAAGTGTTTATTTAAAAATTCCACCAATGTTAAAAATATCCAGAATCTAAGTAGATTTAAAGACATTTAAAACCTACTGTTCATCACACCTCTTTAATAATACATATTATTATAATTTATTCATTATGTAGACATCATTAATGTTGTTTTGACTGAATTTCCATGGAGCCGCCTACTGCCAGCTGTAATTCTACACTAACAAGCTGAAAACAGCTCACCTTCCCACTTTGTTTCTTTTTGTATTCAAAGAATTCATCAGCAGGTTTGTGGAAGAAAAGCATCAGTTTGGCTTCCCTGAAATCTTTTGCTACGAAATGGTTGGTCTCCAGTGGTTTGCTTCATCATATTCTGTGTCGAAATGATCCACTCACCTCTTCATGTGAAGGGGGAAGGAAGGAAGGAGGAAGGAAAACTGAAGTGGGCTCTGTACTGTGCTGTCTTAAACTCTGATGCAGTTGCGGTCAAAATGGAGAACTGGTAGCATTTACCAACTTATAGATTTCTATTCATATGCTCAAAATGACCTGAAGACTTCTAGTAAAATGATGTGATGTCCTCAAAGACGTTTCTGTTACTTAAACTGATGATGGTGAGCATTAGTTTCGCAATTAGCCCGTGACACAATTGAGAGATTTTGCAGTTTTCATACATCATGCAGGTCTGGTGAGCTTGACCTTTTGTGATTTTGACCCACACAAACACACACAATTCACGGTGAGCAGTTTTAATGTTCTGGTTGTTTGGTGTGGTGTCACTGTGGGACTTTGGGAGGAATCCGAGGCAAGCATGGGAAGAACATGGAAACTCCACACAGAAAGGCCCCATGTGACCAGGAGATTTAAAACCAGGACCTTTATGTTGTGGGGAGACAGTGTGCTAACCACTGCGCCACCGTGCATTAGAAAACAAAGCTTTGATTCAAAGTGCGGTCTGTGGGTTTAGTACTTGACGTGGTAACATTTCATGTGTCTCTTAAGTGCAAAATAAAGTGCATTGCTGTGCTTTTCTTTCAACCAGGCTCATGGCGTATTAGCATATAGCAGCACAAAATGATGCTAAAGGAACATTTTACTTCAGTGTCAGCTTCTTTAGGGATTATCATAAAATTAGGTTTTAAGATTTGACTTTTTTTTTTTATCACTGGCAGAGTGAAACAGCTACTGGAAGAAGCATTCTCACAGAAACTGTCTGTCTCTGAATTAAAGTTAATAAACAGGTTAGTAATGGGTTTTTATTAATATGTCTTGTGCTTTAGGAAACTGTATTGCCACACCATGTAGACACAGTCAGAAAAACCTGCTGAAGTTCAAGCCAAGCATTGGAGGAGGAAAGAAATCTGATTTACACGACATTGCACTCAGTGTGGTTGTTAGTGCCAGATAGGCTGGTCTGGACATTACAGAAACTGCTGATCTGCTGGGATTTTTCTAAGGCCATTTCTAAGGTTCACAGAGGATGGTCTGACCAAGAGAAAATATGCAGTCCTCTGGGCAAAAATGCTTTGTTGATGTCAGAGGTCTTTGGGGAATGGCAGACTGCTTTGAGCAGACAGGAAAGAAACAGGAACTCAAATAATTACTCATTACAACCAAAGAAGGCAATATCTGAATGCGCAACAGGTCCAATCTTGAAGCAAATGTGCTCCAGCAGCAGAAGGCCACACCAGCTACCACTCCTGTCAGCTAAGAACAGGAAACTGAGGCTACCGTTCACACTCGCTCACTGGGCTGGTATTGTATTGTAGAATCAGTGTTTGGTGAAAACAACATAAAGTAGGGTTGTAAGCGTTGTAACAGCAGTTCAGGCTGCTGCTGGTGTTGGAGATATTTCCATAGCACACTTTGGGCCCCTTAGTACCAAATGAGCAATGTTTAAACAACCTGAGCAGTGATTATTGATGAGTAGCGTGTGTCACGATCTAGCAAGATAACACACCCTGTCACAAAACTCAAATGATCTCCACCGGGTTTCTAAAACATGACAGGGAGTTCGCTATACATGGATGACGTCCACAGTCACCAGATGTCAATCCAATAGAGCATCTTTAGAATGTCATGAAACAAGAGACTCTCATCACGGATGTGCAGGACCTGTGTGAGGCTATCACATCAACTTTCCAGCACCTCGCTGAAGCTACGCTACGCTATGAAGAATTATAGCAGCTCTGTGGGTTAAAATAGGGTCCAGCCTTGTAATAGTCAGGTGTACCTAATAAAGTGGCTACTTAATGTGTAATTTCTTTCAATCCCTATTCCTGATTAAAGCTGATTAAACTAATGTTGTTTTATGAGCAAAGGCTTCAGACTAGCTTCTATGAGAAGAAGAAGGAGATAATAGTAATGGCCCATCTTTCATCATTTAGGAACAGTGAAAATGTATAACCAGATCTTTTTTGTTAAACATATGTCCACATATGAAGGAGTCAGTATTTTTATTCTGATCACAACAAAGATAACAATATTACACTGACGTTGCTTTTCGACTGATAGCTTCGTATTTGCTGCAGCTCAGGTCTGCTCTCAGTAACATGATTAGCTCTATAACAGCACCACCAGAGGACGCTCTTCACCTGGATTTCAGATCAGCAGCAGCTCAAACCTGTTGCATCGTCACTGTGTGTAAGCGTGGTGAACAGCGCTCTCTAGAGGTTCACTGCAGCATTACAGAGACACCAACTCTCAGATACATTCAGAAGTTTAACTCGTCTTCAGAAACTTTGTTCCCTGCCTCAAACAGAACGGGCTGCCATGTTCTCGGGCTGCAGGGTGGAAGAGGTGGAGGAGGCAAAGGAGCAGTGCATGATGGGACAGAAGGGCTCGTGGGCTCTAAGAGCTTCGGTCAGCAGGTGCTGCTCCTCTGACAGAGAATCCACCTGGAGATGAATTCATTCTGTTACTGCTGTGTAAAAGCAATGGAGGTACACCAGAACTATTTGCTTTCATTTCTGCTGTGTTTTATGCATTTCATACAAACAGGACTTGCTGCTGTTTATATAAAAATAAAATTGTCTGTAAAAGACGAGCAGAGACAGAATTAGCAGTGTGTTTACCTCTCTCCTCAACTTCCTGTTCCTCTGCTCTAGCAGCTCACAGGCCTGGAGGTGAAGAGGGGGGAACAAAGTGGGAAATACATGTTACATTAAAAAATAAAAGCTTTCATATGAATAAAAAAAATAATATTTATTTGAAAACAAAAGCTAGACTGAACATCTCATCTTTGGGGTATTTTATTTGGGATTGTAATTTTGGAAATGTGATTTTTGCACAGACACATAAATGTGGCTGCTACACATTCATTGCGTAAATGCACAATGAGATTTTTATTGATGCAGTCCCAGCTTGTAAGCACTCAGTCATCTCTGGATTTGATAATATGGAGACAGAGAAATCAGAGAGCACTCTCCTTGCCCTATTTCACAAGCCAACAAACAGTCAGGAGCCACACATCACATTTCTTTTATTAATAATAAACTTGTTTTGTTTTTTAAAGCTATGAAAGTAATATTAATTAAGTCCATTTCACTTCATATTTTTATCCTGGTGGTCCACATGTAAATGCTAGTTGCTCTTTGACCAACAGGTTGCTTTAAAACAAGCAAGAAAGGACCTGTCAAAATACTCATTCTAGTTTGTCAGCCACATACAGCCCAATTTTATCTGAACTGTAGTAAAACCAAAACAGTTTGAGAAACAAAACAGCCAGCCAGAAACACTCCAGCTGTAAATCAAAGAAACGTGTTGGCATGGTCGTTGGTTTAACCACCTCACTTTAGCCGATGTGTTATGGTCAGTAACAACTCTGTAAAGGTGAGCGGGCGGTCATCTGGCTGTGATGAAATTAACATCTCAGACAACCAGTCTCAAAGACACAATCTGATCTCAGTGACTTGCAAAATAAACCTTCATGGAGGAAAAAAATACAATGCAAAAAATATTTGCAACATTTTGCAAACCTGTTAAGAGCCCAAAAATAGACCTTTTGGTGGGCCACTTTGGGCCCAAGTGCCATATGTTTGACACACCAACTTAATGCATATGTCAGAATCTGACCAGCAGAAATATGTTCACCCACCTCGTGCAGCAGGTCGGCTCTCTGAGTTTGTCTTTTGCGGCTCTTCTGAGCTGCAACTCTGTTCTTCTCTCTCCTCTTCATCCTCCGCCCCTCATCCTCCGAACACTGACACAAACAAACACTATAATCCGTTGACGCATTCTACAATTGTGATATTTTACGTCTCGTTTTTTACTGCTTGACCAGAGTTTGTTTGTGCAGATTCATGTGAGGACACTGGCAGCATTACATCACATATCTGCCTATTTCTCACACAACCTCCACGTGACGCAACGAGGGTGACCATAGCGATATCAGCCTATATACACAAGATGATGTTTTAAACCATCTTTAAAACCTCTTGACCCCTGACCTCCCCGTGGATTAGGAGGAAGGTAAACAGTAAAAAAACAAACCTAAATGTACACGTGTTAAGAAAAAACACGATGACGTGATCTTTCTTACCTCCCATCCTTCACAGAGCTGGTTGGTGCTGATGTTATTCTGTTGAGACTGGCATGAAAAACCAGAGACTGACATCACAGGCTTTAAAATCAAAACCTAAAAGGAAAGACGACGAACACTGGTTCTGTCAGGAGACTGATAGGTGTGTGTGTGTGTGCTGGGCACTGAGTCCAGTCAAGTTCAAACACACCGGGTAGAAAACTAGCTCGAGTTTCACTTCAGCTTACTTTTCAATTTCGCTGCCTTTTTTAAAGAAGTGGCGAGGACAGTTAAGGTAAGTCATGTGACTTGGGGGGGCCCATGGTTAACCTGTATTTAGCATATGGAAGAAGTCTGTCTTCAGGACTACCAGACAGCCAACTGAGATAATCAACAGACGAAGCAGATTCTATTAAAAAACAACAACCTGGTGAGACGCAGGACTTTCACCCTGGAGGTTAGGGTTCAGCTTCAGCTACTGTTTACACTCACAGATTAGATTTATGCACCAAAACTATTTGGTTAGATTTACAGAATGAAATCTTTTGCATTAAAATACACACTTCTTCCATTCATAAACATGTTTTAAAGTTTCTGTTTTTACTGTGCGCACAGATCATTCCCATATTCTGCAGGTGACAACTATAAATCCACTACTTAACATAGTTTCCCAAAAATACAGTTTCTCTCAGTTAAAGTTTTGAAAAACAGAAAAGGGATTTAAAGAGTTGTGACATAACAATATATTTAACTAAACCAACAGCTTTTACGGAGTTTTAACCATAAATTTAAGGTTTATGAATCTCTTTAAAGTGGATTAAAGTGACCACAAAGTGACCAATATGAGAAAGGTTACAAGTACAAGTACAAGCAAAGCCCCTGGAATTGTATTATATACATTATGCACAAGATAACAGAAATGACATAAATGATTTAATTTGATTCAACACTAATTACAGTTTTCCCTTTACAAAAATCATCAATTTAGTTAGACTAACAAATGAACAAATCTGATGCTGATCAAGCTGAGATAATATGCAAAAACATGCTGCACATAACTCCACAAGATTAAACCTCTGATGCTACTTTAGTCCTTCCAAGTAGACAAACAAATCAGCCAGTTTGGGGTATTTTTATTTGTGCTTTTGTGCTTTTGACTTGCCAAACAGTATCTCTGTTGCCGCCCACACATGGAACTGAAACTTCTGTTTGGCTTCATGGAAAAGAATGATCATGTTTACACTTATTAATTTCAGCCACAGACTGGATATTAAAAAGGGATGTATCCACTTTGACACAATCTGGTATATTTTAAGGCCCCAGTGTTGCTATTTTGGCCACCGCAGTGCTGGTGAAGTGCTCACAGAGAGAGCAGTGAAAAGTTTTTGGCTAAGTTTGGACGGCAAGCTGCATACAGACACAGACCAGATCATACTAAAGCTAAACCTTGTACAATTGTTAAAGAGGGTGGAGCAGGTTACAGAGAGCAAAACATTTTTGTAGCAGCTTGTAAAGCACATTTATTTCCACTGTAAAGTTAGATATTTTAATGTGGGAGTCTATGGATGTGCTGGCTCTTGGGATCAGCCAAGTGGCCATTAGAGGAACTGCAGTGTTTGGGAATTTCACACTGGTTTAATGTTTCTTGAAGTGTCACTCAAGCTTGTCCTCTCCCACGCAGCACTCTGGTTTCTTGGCTTGGGGCACATAGCCCTCTGCGGCTGCTGCTTCCTCTACAGCTCTCTTTATTGGTTGCTTGTTTCCCATGGCTGTTTTCGCAGGAGGAAAGGGAGCCTCTGATTGGTCATTAAAACCAAACACTTCTCTGTGTATCTCCAGAGAGGCTTGGCTGGGTTTCATTTTGAGGATTTCGCATAGGCCTTCAACTTGTGTTTGCAGAGTGTTGATTGACTGTAGAAAAAAAAAATGTGTCAGTAATGACTCCATACATGAAGGACAACTTGCTAAGAGCTTTCAGTGTGTTACCTTTATGACCTGGATGGCCTGCTTTACCACACCAGGAGCGGCTGCTGTCAAATCATTCATGATGTTCTCTGGTAAAACACACAAGAACGGCACTGTTATCGAGGGTAAACTGCACATCGGTGTCAACTGTGTCTACAGTTAGTCTTGTCTGTCTGCTTAGGCATTGTGGAGATTTGCTGCAAAATAAAAAGAACTGTCCACACTGATTTAACACAAAGAATATCACAAAATAGTCACAGAATCATTGGAAATACTGAAACTCAACATACTCTAGGCATGTGCAGAAGGGAATACTGTCTGGTATAAAATATGTAAGGAAACAGTGACTATATTTGGACAAATATTACTTCGGTTTTATTTATATACGACTAGATCGAAACAACAGTTACCTTGAGTTAAAGACCCTACAATAATACAGAGAAAACCCAACAATCAAACAACCACCTACAAGTAAGCACTTAGTGATAGTGGGAAGGAAAAACTCTCTTTTAACAGGAAGAAACTGCCAGCAAAACGAGGCTCAGGGAGAGGTGGCCATCTGCTGCGACCGGTTGGGGGTGAAGGTAAGAAGACAGGACACACTGTGGAAGGCAGCCATTGATGAATAACAACTAATGATTAAAAGTAAACTGGTGGAAGAACTAATCTATTTATACACCACATAAACATGTCTGCTTGATATGTTGAGTTTTTGTATATTCTGCTGTGATAAAGAACTGCACAGTCTTTTTTACGACTGTTCAGGAGGCCATGCTAGAATTTGCTCTCTTCAAGCGTCATTCATCGTTTTCAAGCTAATGTTGATTCAAATTTATTTTAAAGCGATTGATTCGGCGGCTGTGGCTCAAGAAGTAGAGCAGGTCATGTACTAATTGGAAGGCTCCAGTCTTCATCTCCAAGAATCAATGGGAAATATACTGAATCTCAAGTTGGTCCTGATGTTTCACAGAATGATAAAATGCACTAACACGTAGGAAAAAGTGAAAGTGTGTAAATGAGTGATACTGTTGTTACGACTGTTGTCGTAATTATAATATCTAAATTTGAGTGTGCAGGTGCTCCTCCATGATTGGTGTATCCAGGGTGGATGGATCGTATCGATTGGCTAACGACCGGGAGGCAGCGTATAAGAAGACACCGCCAGGGACTGCCAGGTGATTCATCCTCGGCCCAACCCAACCGGCAGACCATGTGTTTCACTATGTTAGTTTAATGTAGGAGCATGTAGGGGTGGACCGCCTTTTTGTTTGATTAGTTTTCTCCTGTTTTTGTTAGGTAGGGAGGAAAGTAATTGTCGTTTGGTTTAGTTCTTTTGACTAGGTAAGTTGTATTTACTCCTGAGATAGGCGACCTTTTGTTTGTTGTTTTGGCCTTGGGTTCACCCCAAAGTTAAAATTCGCTCCCTTCCTTTGTTTAAATTCACTCATTGTAAATAAATCACTGTCACAAAGTATTAATTGTGTGAAGTGCTGCTTGGGGTTGGACGGGGATGGATCACCCTTTATGTTGTGGTCTGGCCGCGCCTAGACGAGCCATAACGCTGTATATACGTATGAGTGATAAAGCATTATGAGTGGCAAAATAAGGCAGAAAATTCTGTGCATTTACCATTTAAAGTGGCAAACTGCCAGCATTTCATTGGGTCCTACTCACTGCTCTTCAGTAACACGCTTATGAAAGTAATGCAGTAATGTAAAGTGTAAAGTAGTAATGCTCTGCTCACCAACATCTGTGCAAATTACTCCTTAAGTTTAAAAAATATATATGTATATATATATATATATAAACATTTTTCATGGCAACTGTATGAATGACTGTGTGACCTGCGATACTACAGTAAAACTATTGTTATCGCTTCATGAGTCATTTACAACCTGCCGATATGTTTTTATTCACAGCCTTTGCTTCGTTCTACTAAAAACGGTGAACAAGAAGTACTGATGCGTTTAGGTATTTCACTTCAGTGATGCTGAAACTTTCATGTCTGCCTTTAAAAAGAACCAGTTCTTCCTAAATGCACTTTAAAATAGCAAACACCCCCTCACTGGACAAAGGGCGCTTTATGTGTTTTTCTTTTTGACTCTACACTTAACCATAAGATGTCTAAATTTACTCTCCAAAGTAAGACAGTAACACTGTCCTGAGCCAGCAGTACAGCACTCTGTAGCTGGTGCTCAGCATTTCCAGTCAGCTGCAGGTGAACACTCACTGGTATACCTGTAAAGATTTGGTGTTTGGGGAAGAAGCCAAAATAAAAAATGTGTGTGTGTCTATAGAAATGATCAGAGGCTACTACCTTGATCAGGATCTTTGACCACCTCTTGAGGTTTGATGGCCTGCTCATACAGCCCCTGAAACATGAAACGCGTTTGTTTCTTTTAAATATCTGTTCATGAAAGATTCTGTGAAATCTATAATTAGCAATAAACATTTTCTCAAAGATAGAAAATACTCTTTGCTTTGAAAAACACTTGGCACTTTTGCACTTTAGTTATTCAATATATTTGTTTATTTTTATACAAAAAAATTGAGAGTAATGCACAATAATCAGAGCTGGTAAATCAAAAAATAAACAAGGAGAAAAAAATCCCCACCATGATTTTCCGTTCAGCCTTGAGGGCATGCACCACATGAGGAAGGATCTTTTTGGGGAATGTACGGCGCCTTCTTGTGGTCTCAACAATAGTATCGTCCAGGAGGCTTTCCAGATCTACAGCTTCATCCTCTGCTGAGGGTGTTGGTGGCAGAGAAACAGACAGCATAGTTGACTAAATAAAGCTTTCCTTAAAATATAATAATTGAAACAAGAGTATGAAAAGGGCGAAGGATCACCTTCATCATCGGGCGCCTCCTCCCAAGGCCGTCCATTCACCAACACGTTAGCCTGAACAGCAGCCTCAAAATTCTGCACAGTTTCAAATAAACAAACACACAATCAGTGGCAACACACATTAAAATATGATGTCAGCTGTTCAACTGCAGCAGGATCAGATCGATTTGATAACGTTTCCATTTTGGTCAACACAGGAAGCCATATTACACTTTGTCAAAGGAGCTTGCAAAGAAAAGCGTCTGGACTTCTTTAAGTTACTTGAAGACGTTTCACCTCTCATCCGAGAAGCTTCTTCAGTTCTAAGGTCAAATGGTGGAGAGTCCCAGATATAAACCTGGTGGGAGTGTCCCCCCACAGAGGGACAAAAGGACCCCCTGATGATCCTCTAATCGCCTGAGCCAAGGTGTGAAACTGGGTGTGGGTCCCAATCAGCCAGAGTTTCGGGTGAGTTCATTGTGAAACCTGGCCCCACCTTATCATGCGAAAAGAAAAGCGAAGACGCTTTTCTTTGCAAGCTCCTTTGACTACGATGACCTGGATAACTGAGAACCTTCACAGACATATTACGCTTTATTTTGCAGGACTGTCCTGATTAATCTAGTCCCAAAGAAGACTACCAGGATCATTTTCTGGAAACTCTGTTGCTGTTATTATATGAACACTGTACAGTCCTCCGTGCAAAGGTCAAACGTTGATCACAGTTGTTTCTATACTTAGTTCACATGAAGCTTAAAGTGGGCTACAAATAATCTGCACAACTGAAACACTGTTTTCCCCAAATTTCCATGAAAACTTTTGGTTTCTTCTACTGCAGCGTGACGATGATTCAGTATGAAGCACGCAGCTGGAAATACGTGAGATGCACTTACTGTGTACTTAAAATATGGTTTTATATTAAGCAATAATAGTGTGATAAAAAGACTCTAAAACAGTCATGCCTGTCTTTGAGGATTTAGTCAGTGAAAAAACTGACACGAGTCACAACATAAACTTCAAACGCTGCGTCGGTTACAATAAAATCATTTGTTAGAAGACTGACAGCCGGCAATATCTGTAGATTGTAAGTTTATAACGCAGGTATCCACACAGCAGTCAGCACAACTTAAAACACAAAACAAACAAACACACAGTATTTACACACTCTCCATTTAATTATTTCCATCCTAGAGCATTTAGACCACCCCTAAGTGAAATTTAGTACTGTCACCATATCAGATTTCCTCTACGTAATAAAAAAAAAAAATCACTACAGTGGCATTTTTTCAGCTGTCTGTCTGTTGTCTCTTTTTGGCACAGACAGTCTGTAATCATAGGTGCATAAAGGATTTGTAAAAATAACTAGATCAAAAACTGGGGTCATCTGTCTCCATCTCATCCTAACCCAGGCATCCTCATCTTCTCTTCAACTCCATCCTCAACATCCATTGTCCAGCAGAGCCATTATCCCTCCTCTACACTTTTCCACACCATCTGTACCTCACCTTTCCAACTTTGTCTCAAAATGCTCAACCTGAGCTGTCCTTCTGATGTACTTATTTCTAATTTTGTCTCATCACGTTCAACTACCATCTTTTTCCACCTCTCTTGTGCACTGTCCATTTCTTTGGAAGGTGACCCCAGGTATTTAGGCTCCTCTACATCCGCTCCTTGCATCTTCGCTGCTACACCTGCCTTCCTCTCATCCACACATATCTATCCTGTCTTGCTTCAACTGACTTTCCAGAGCATACCTCCATCTCCTCTCTTCCACCTACTCTCAGTGTGGTCTGCTAACATCCCAGCCCACAGACACTAATGCCTGACCTCATAACTATTACTGGTGAGCTTAACAGATGTGGCTTATTAATATCAAGCTGTAAAGTATATATGCAAAGATTTTATAAATACAAATACGCCTTCATTAAAACAACTATCAGCGGCCTGGCCTCTACAGTTTAGCATTGCTCACATCATGTTCAGTTACAGTCAATCCCAAAATGTGAGAAAGGACTCGGACTCACTGCCAGCAGCTCCTGCAGTAAAACTCGCTTCGTCTCCTCCGGAAAGTCCTCCGGCTGCCCGTCCAGAGCCGTCTTTAAAAGTTCTTTGTATTTGTTCACCTGCTCACTTACTACTTTCTTCGAGGTTACCTGGACCCTGTACTCTGGATTTGTTTCCTCACTTGGTAAGATTTCACTCTCTACGGCCTCCATCTTTACCGCCAACTTGTTTATATTTTTTTAACGCAACCCGGAACTGAACAGAAACGAACCGGTCCCACTACTATAGATGACCGTGAAGGAACAACGTTTATTTCTGGAGGAGTGTTCCGGGATGGTTGTTAGCTATGCTACTAACGCAGAGAATTTATTTGGTCTCTTAGATTTTATTTGTTGATTTTCAATGGAGAATGGCTTCGTTGATTGTCACTGTCATATCTCGGCTCATGAGTTTGAAGAGGTAAATTGTCACGTGTTGGAAATTATCCGTCACCTCTTCATGAACTGCAGGAAATTTAGAGCATTACTTACTCTTTTTATTTACAGTCTGATTACAGCTCCTAGCTTTATATATGCTACTCAAATATAGCCTTTCTTTTACTTTTAGGATTTCGAGGATGTGATCCTGAGGACGAGAGAGGTAAGCATAATGAATTCCTTTTATACCTTCACATATGCCTTACAGATCTTGGCCATTTGAAAGCTGTAGATATTTTCAGAGCCATTTGGAAATACAGCCTGAAACTACAGATGAGGAAAACATGTAGTTGTATGTTTCATCTTGGTTCACACAAGTACAATAAGTGCAGTTTAATTTAATATTTAAAATAGTAAGCATGCAGTTATGTGTGTCTATGTGTAGGCTGGTGTGAAGACTCTGGTTGCAGTTACAGAAGAAGTCGGAGAGTTTGCCCGAGTTCTCCAGCTGCAGGAAAGGTCTGCACGTCTGCAAAGCACATTGTCTGTCTCACAAACATATATTATGCTGCTTGCTTTTTATTGAGAGGACACCAAATTGAAGAAAAACGACATCAACAGCATAAAGCCTAAAAGATTCATTAAGCTGAACTAAGACAGGAGAAAAAGAGACAAACTTTCAGTTATTTGCTGATGAAATAAATACAACTATCCAGGAACTGTGGTGCAACTAAAGGTTAGGTTTTCTGGACTAATATTTGTATAGTAAAAGTACACAGACACACTGAGGTGCGCTCACAGTAAGAACAGAGTTTGTGTTACTTTTTCCTCTAAAGTCAGTCATGCAGAGTGTAAAGAAAACAAATGTGTATATACTGTTCTGCACAGCTGTTCACAGCTGGAAAGCATTGCATTTATTATCTTTGATGTTATGTTGAATTCCTTTCTCACAGCTATCCAGATCTCGTGGCTCCGTGTTTTGGCATCCATCCGCTGCAGGCTGCCGAGGGCCCTCAGCAGCACAGCGTGAAACCTCAGGTAGTGAACCAATGTGTAGCGCATCTGTCTTTTAAATATTTTACTTAAATAATTATGAAAAAATGGGAAGGAAATCTGTATCCAGACTGTATCCAGTGATTCATGTAGTTTGCTTACTACGGTAGAAATCTGCTTTAATTCTTCATGGCAGCAATTCAACCAGGTGCTTGAAGTATTCCTCAGAGATTTTGGTCCATGATAGCATCACCCATTCAGTACAGTGTTGGCTGCAGATCCATGATATGAATCTCCTGTTCCACCGCACCACACCCTAAAGTGGTTTGTTGGATTGAGATCGGGTGACTGTGGAGGACATTTGCATACATGTTCAAGAAACTAGTTTGACAAAGATGTACCAACCAGCTTGAAGCAACCATCAATAGACAGGCACACTGTGGTCATAAAGGGATGGAAATGGTCAGCAACAGTAATCAGAAAGGCTGTGATGTTTAAAGGATGTTCAATCTGTTCTAAGGTGGTGCAAAGTGTCAAACCATTACACCACCGCAGACTTGAACAGTTGATACAAGGCAGGATCCATTTCATGTTATTTATACCAAATTCTGGCTTTCTGTTTTTCAAATTTATTGTTGTTTAATTTTAGCGTCAGTTTTCCTTTCTTAGCTGACGGGAGTGGCAGCCCATCAGAAACAGAATGCTTATTAATCCCTAAGGAAATGATGTAATCAGACCACCATTGTGGTCTTCTGCTACGCATTTGCTTCAAGTATCTGTGAGTGCGTGTCTGTGTGCTCAGAGATGCTCTTCTGCTTCTTCTGCACACTTCAGCTATAACAAGTGGTTGTTTCAGTTACTGTTGCAGCAGTCTGACCATTCTTCTTTGATCACTGTCATTAACTTCACATTTAAACTCACAGAACTGCTGCACACTGGTTGTTTTCTCCTTTTCAGACTATTCTCTGTAAACCCTGAAGATGGTGTGGGAAATTTCCAGTAGATCAGTGTTTGCTGAATACCCAGAAAAATATTTTTTTAATGTTTTTTTTTAAGCCTCTCCTTTAATAAAGAAATATGTTCCACAGGATCTGGACGTCGCCCTTCAACACTTCTATAACCACAAAGAACGCCTGGTCGCTGTTGGAGAGGTAGACTTTTAACCTCTAACTGAACCTTATAATAATCTCTTTTATTAAAGTATTTTTAATTTTACTGCGGATTTAATAAAACATGTTTATATGTCTAAGTTAAACGTCTTTTTAAATTGACTAAGAAGTGTGCTGCATCTCAGACTCCGTGAAATGTAGCTCAGTAGGAAAAAGTTTAACCAAAGTTTTATATAATAAATAATTCCATGACTGGAAGTCTTCATAGATAATTTAAGTTATATCAGCTTCTGAAGGCTTAAGGGTGGTCATGGATTCAACTGTTACAAACACACACATTAACACACACTGTGTCTTCCCCACTCTCCTACTGCTGTTTCCAGCTGTTGGATTAGGTTGGAGACATAGAGCTCCATCCTTTGCTTCACTGAGCACATTTTAGTTCAGCTACAGTTTGAATCTGTAACCTTTTCCCTCATATCTGTTCTGGCAGTTTTTCTTTAATCTGCGGCTGCTTGAGAGGTTGAGGGTACTTTGTGGTTTTAGGTTGAGCAATCAAAACCAGTTTGACTCGACTTCATTTGGACATAAGCTCTGTGAGAACTGACTCACTTGAGAGATGGCGACTTAAACCTCTTCCTTGCCAGAGGCTCATGCACCAGAGCAGGTGTCGGTTTTTAAGGTGGCTCACACAAATGCATCCAATGTAGCATTTGGTGTGCCTCATTTCTGTTTCTTATAGAAATTTCTTATGTTTCTTCTCTTATGAAACTTATAAACGATTCACTGACATAGATCAAAGTTGAGAGTTTAAAGAGCGAACCTGAGACCAAGGTTTAGTTTCTACCGTAGCATGCATAAATCCTTTGAATACTGAACTTGTAGATCAGTGCTTTAAATGTTTATGTCATGTTAATGGTGAGCATTAAGATGCTAGTCTGAGTGTACCTTTTCAGGAGATGAAATTCTGATTAAATTTGTTAGAAAAACGACTTAAAATTTGGAACGATCATAGTGAAAAAGAAATGAAAGTGATTCTGGTCTTCTAAAACTTTTCCTACATTAATAGTAGTCTGGGATGGGATGACTGATTAAAAACAAATTTATTTGTTTTTTACGATTTGGGCTTGGGGTGTGTGAGGTCCTGCTTTCAAATCCCGGATGAGCCCCAAACTTTTACGTACTCTTAAAGGGTCCAGGGGATGAGGGAACTATCTAAAGGAGACGTGGGAGGCAAAATGGTTAAATTAAAGGGTTTTATTAATGTTTTTATTAGTAATTCAACTAAAAGAGACGGACAAGCCCTATCACATTTTAAAGAAGGAAAACAACAAAACCCAGTAGTTGGTCAATAAACTGAAAAGTAAGTCAAAAAAGGGTTAGTCATCAAAACACACTCCTCTCCAGAGCAGGCTACCTACAAAACACAACAAGGCTCTTTGGCACTAGACCTCACCTGTCTCTAGCCCTAATTGCTGATTAGAGTCAGCTGTGCAAAAAGGGTGGCACCTAAGGTAGGAGAGAGCAGGACACACCCACACAAGCTCAATTTCACGGGAGGCCCTGCTAGGGCCATAACAGCCTTCTTTTAATTTTTCAGATTGGTTTAGACTTCACTCCCTGGTGCGCCCCGACTCAGCAGGACAGAGATGACCAAGTGACCGTCTTCATCAAACAGCTCAGCATCGCCAAGGAGCTGGACTTACCTGTGTGAGGACTAATTAAAATAGCTATTGTTAGAGTTCAAGTTCAAGTTCTTTCCCTTTTCACAAATATAACACAGGGTTTATACGGCTACTCCACTGTGTTGAATTCAATTGTTTCATTGTTTTAAGGCTTGAACTTTTCAAGTGTTTGAACTTTTAAATGACGGATTTGATTTAACACATTTTAGGACCAAACAAGACTTTATATTTAGCTGAAAGAAGTCCCAGTGCATCAAGACTCAGTGTAAACATGAATGAACAAATGATGCAGAGTCCAAGAATAAAAATATGAAGCTCACATTGAGCTTTTTACCCCAAGCCTGTGTTTCCCAGAAATAATCAAACAGTCAGTCTGCCGAGCATGCGCAAGTCGCTAAGTGAAGGTTTTTAATCCACATAGAAGTCTGTGTAACGTGTTGATTGTGAATTTCTGTTCAGGAACGTCCACTCCAGATCAGCTGCTAGGGTCACGATTGAGACCATGAAGGAACAAGGTGAGTGTTAGATTCCAGCGAACCGTGCAGACATCTGAACGTTATCTCATGTTCTGTTTTTCTGTCAGGCATCAGCCGAGCTCTGCTTCATAACTTTGCGGGGAAGCCATCGGTCGCTCTGGAAGGTGTGAAGGCGGGCTACCTCTTCTCTTTCCCCCCCGCTGTCTGCAGAAGCAAACAGGTGAGATGAAAAATGTCGTCCTGTGGAAAAACATTTTTTAACATTTTTTGCTGAGTCACCTGAATAAACAGTTTTAGTACCGCCAAACAGAGAGACAAGTTAATCAAGCAGATCCCATTGGAGCACATTTGTCTTGAGACCGACTCTCCTGCCCTGGGGCTTCACCAGCATGTAAGTTTTAAAGGCTTTAAAATCATCATCACATTGAGACACAGCGCCACAAGTGCAGACATGTTTAATCTGTCTTTTGTCTGCCAGGTGAGGAATGAGCCCGCTAACATCATCCTGCCATGTCGCTACATCGCCGATGTCAAAGGTCTCCCAACAGAAACTGTTCGGCTGGTCACCGCACACAATGCATACAGACTCTTCCCCAAAGCTAAAACACGCTGACAGTGACATGAGCGTGATTTTGAAATCCAAGTGTGTGACGTCATGGAAAACATAACTCCCTTTACTACTTAGGGGTGAATCAATTTTTTAATATAAATTTATTTTGCCCAAAATGCCAGAATCTCAGGTTAAACCTCACAAAATTTCAAGAACCACCAAACAGCTAAAACAGTAAATGAGAGCAGGAACACGGATTCTGCACAAAGGCGTAAACACAAAGCACGGACCGCCGATGGATCAGTTAGATGTCGCCTTTCTCACCCGACCGCACGGACACGGTCGGGGCTGAAAGCCGACAGCTCGCTGATTCTGATGTTTCGACGGGTCCGCGCTTTGTGTTTATGCCCTTTTTGCGCTGATTCTAAAGCTGTTAGTTTGATCTCTCTCCAAACAATATTGACTGAACCAGCAGCAAAAGAAGATCCAAACTACGCTTCACATAAACAGCGTCATGAATTCCCTCTGACTTTTGCTGTTTTGCTTCCACACTTCATGCACAGCTCTCTCTCTCTCTCTGTATACTTCAAGAACAGTTTCCCATCTGTTTTCTGCATTATTTGCTTGCTTGTTACGCACAAGTCTACCGTTGTTTACAGCGCTGTCGGACGCTGTTTGTTTTTGTTTTCCTTTTAATTACTTCCGAAAAGAAAACCTAATTTCTGCCGTTCAATAGGCTTCTGAACAAATGTAAACTTTTTAGAATTATGCAAAATGCAAAACACTTAGCCGTGTCTCTAATAAAACCTCTGTAACTTCAGAGGTAATGTTCGTATGTTGATTAATGGTTTTCTTTCGTTTTTGATGCACTGCAGAATATTTTTATAAAATCCCAGGCCAGGAAAATCACCTTCATGTTTTTCTGTGTTTTATCCTCAGCTACTTTGACACAAAGGCATCTGCTGTGATGCTCACACCTTTGATAAAGTCTTGCAAGTGTCAGCTTCCTTTTTATAGATACAAAAATATGTAAATGTACTGATCTGAATTATAATATTTCTGACTGTCTGAGGCAAAATTTCCCAGATTTGAATCGAATCGTGGATCGAATCGATTCGGGACCTTGTGAATCGGAATCGAATCGATTCTAGAAATCAGTGACGATACCCAGCCCTATTACTACTGTCCGCCCCTCAGTGTTTCACTGCAAGGCTCAACGTGAACCTTTTTAAACACGTGATGAACACTGCTAACGTTTGAATATCAGAAAGGTTTTTCTTTACTTTTGAGGTTTTTTTAAGTTTCACACAAGCTAGAAGCTTTCTGCAAAGTCTTGCAGATAATTTTAATAATTAATGAGATGTGTCTTTCTTGACCAAAGCAAGTGATGCATGGAAATTATTTTTTAAAATTGAGTTTTTAATTTCAGTACTGTCAATAACAAGTACAATCAAATGTTTTAAGACCTCATGTGCCATGATCTCCAGCGTATTTGGGGTTTTGCATCACGTCATATATTAGTTATGAAAATAAAATATTGAAAGTTGCCCCACGTCTGGGTCCCTGGTGTATCTGCAGTATGAACTCAGGTCATCTTCTAAGGCTGCAGCTCTCTAGACCAGGTGAGTTTTATCTGGAAGAGAAGAGACAGATCTCAGGAGTCAACAGCTGCTCATTTTCTTTTTGATCACTTTATAGAAAATCAAATAATACGGCTGTTCTCAAACTTGTTTTTCAAACAAGTTCTATTGAACATTAACAAAACAATACTTAAGTAGAATTTCAGTTAAATAAAAGCAAGAAGAATAGCATCAGTTTTGTTTTCCTTCATAAATCATTGATACAGCATAGTTCCACCTCATGTTTTTGATAAATATGTTTATGTCAGCCTGATCAAGACATGCAGAAATTAAGTGGTGCACTACAGATTTTAAACTTTAAGCCGATTAACTACAGTAAAAGTGGTAAATTTGCATTAGATGATTGCCTGGGTAAGTGATGTGAAACTCATTTTACTTTGTGGGCTACATACCATCAATTTAACCTTAAGTAGACTGGACTGGTAAGACCACTGCATCAATTTTTTAACATCAAACTAATAATAATACGCCTCATTTTTTACTTTTTCCGTCTACTGTTAGAGAAAGGCATCATCGTGGCTCCTAGGTGTAAGTGGATTAGTAAGGTGTTGTATGACACGTTGTGGGTAAAGTATTTTAATGAGAAGGCTGGGAAACTGACCATGATTCAGGTTTGAGGCTCAGATTTAGCACGTTAAACAGCCATGCTCTCCTTTTCTGCAAAACCATCCAATGAGGTGGAAAGGACCTACTGATGCTGGGTCTGTCAGCAAAAACATGTGGGCCACATGTTTGACAACAGCAGTCATAAAACAGGTGACCTGTAGGGTCCTAATGTAATGGCATGTGTGCAAACTATCTCTCATCACTGACATTTCGTTTCTCTGTACTGTGGAGCAAACGAAGGTACTAAACAAATTTCATCCTTAATAATGTAATACGGGAAATTGGAATATCTGGAAAGTCGGATTCTTTGATAAACTAAATAACTGTGGATACAGGTTTGCTGTAGTTTTAAAATATTGAATCTTTCAGCCTTTTAGAATTTAATTACCTAATTAAATATTAATATCTTTAAAGTATTTGGGACAGACACACAGTTTCTCGTATCCATATCAGATCTACAGAAATATTTCTGTAAAATCTTCAGAGAAGCCTTCTTACAGCCCTCCTCGAAGTGCCTTCTCTCCGGGAGCTTGACGGGGGCAGGCCGCTGGGTGCAGGCTTCTCTGCGCTGCGGTCCGCCAGTCAGAGCTGTAAGGAGAACCGAGCTGCTCTTCAAGTGACTCCGGTAATGTCTCCTCTGTGATCTCTCCCAGCCCTGCCGGGGGTTCATCTCCACCTGACACCACGTCTCCCTGCTCTGATTCAGCTCCAGCAGAGCCCGATCCTCATACCCGGACATTACTTTTTATCTTTGTAGGAAGTATTAATGTGGACTAGATTTCCTTTCATAAATTATCCAAAGGTAAGCTGTGAGAATACACTTGTTACCTGGGCAACAAGAAACCGGATAAGGGAGATGAGCCACTCTGCGAGCAAAAGTAGAACATCCCTCGCCCCGAGATTACTAGAATGTGGAGTAAGAATCCCACATCAGATATTAAATTTCAAATTTAGTCGAGGTGTGATCTTAGTTTCCTTTGGTTTTGTTTTATTCTTTAGTTGTCAGGCTTTCACAAAACACTGACATATGAGAAAACAAGCCTTGTACGAGATTCAACCTCAGGTATTCTACAGTCTGCAGAACCTGTAAAGCCAGCTGCATAAAAACAAAATAAATAAAACCAACCACTGTGTACAATTAACGTAGTTGTGACGTCCGGAGTGGACAGAAGTTTGATTGAGCCCACTGAGAAAGGACCTAATAATAATAATTGGGATATTTAGAAGCTGGAGATTTATAAATGATTGCAAGCTGAATATTTACACATTGTTCAGTGAAGTCAAACAACACTGCACTGCCATTGTCATTGGAAAAGAAACACAGAAAGGGCTGTGAAATGTTGCTTGCTTTGCATTTTAAAGTCCAGTAAAGAGATCAGATGCGTGTAGATTTTACTGTAGGTGTGAATCACCTGTAGGATCAGACTTGCTGCGGCATCCAGTCTCACTGGGTCACACTAGGATTAAAGCAGATAATGCTCAGCATATGGACAGGCTACTTTGAGTATATGGAACAGGCAGCGTAGCTACAGACTAAAGGAACACTGATTGGTTTTTGATTATACTGATTAGTTTTATATTTTTTCAATCAGTTCTGTTCATCTTTACTTGTATACCATTTACAGTATTAGAGGAAGAACCCCTGCAATCTGATAATCCCCATTAAGGTAGGGCTTGGCGACTGTGGTGAGGAAGAACACTGTTTTATCAAAGTCTCCCATAGGCTCAGGGAGGCACAACCATCTGTTGTGACCAAAGAAAGAGGAGTGTAGATAAAACATAAAATCCACGAGAGAGTGGCCAAACATTAGTTGCATACAGTAGTGGCATATTAGCAGCAGGAGTAAAAAGAAAAAGAAGGAAATGCTCAGTGCATCATGGGAAGTCTCCCAGCACCCTGGGCATACAACAGCATAAATATCAGGTGAGTCAAACATGCCTACTCCAGCCCTGCTTTAAACAAAGCAGCCTCTACTTTGTTTAAAGCAGGGCTCTAAAAGTAGAGGGTGTGTCTATTGCTCCCAAACTGAGCTGTTTCCATGGGAGAGTAGTCTGACAGTTTAAGGCCGTGTTTCTAGGAACCACTGACTATGGTACCGAGAGATCTCACAAGAAGCACAGACCACATATGAAAATAACTCACTCATCTAATTTGGTAGAAATTAGAACCAGTCTAACATCCACCAACATTTAAATGATCTCGCGTTACTTTTTTGGTATTAGAAAGCAGATTAAAGAGAAGGTGATTTAGTAACGAAACTGACTCGTTTTGACTTCCTAGCAGAGAATTTTCTTTACGTGTCGCATCAGAGCTTCCACGGTTACCATTCACACATACGCCCAGACAGGCAGCACTACTAGATACTACAAGCTCATGCTGCTCTGCTATTGGCTCATCGCTATCGAAAGGCTTTGTGTCAGAGTCGGCTTAAAAAGTAGAGAGACGTATTGAAACCACCAGACAGGGAGAGAGAGAGAGAGAGAGAGAGAGAATCAAGTGTGTCAGACCGGGAGCAGCACGCTGTTTGACAGAAGCCCGGTATTGTTTTCTAAGGAGTGTTGAGTGTTCGAGTATTTTCATATTTAGGGATGTGTAGTCAGCAGTTGTTCATATTTCAGTCATCTGCAGCTCAGCCTTCTTTTTCACCGGTAACCAAATGAGGAAACCACTCTGTTTCCTGCTCAGCTCGCCTCAGTCGATCATCTCTGGACTCAGCATCGCGCAAAAAGAGCAAAAGGCTGCAAACACGCATCATGGTCGCCGGTGAGCTCGTGCAGGAGCATCTGCGCGCCGGTACCGGCGCACCTGACGACATCACGGTCGGCAGGCAGGAGCCAGAGGACGAGGAACGGCCAAACGAAGCGGTGCACGCGGGCGGGGCCGGGGAGACAGGCTCAAAGCACGCGCAGGAGCTGGAGGAGGACAAGGAAGCTCCGCCTGATGAAAGAGAGGTGATGCTACCCAACGGAGGAGGAGGAGGAGAAGGCGAGGAGGAGGAAGAGAAAAGGCTGGAGACCAGGGTGTACGCCCGCCGGTTCGCCGTGCTGGCCGTTTTCAGCCTGTACTCCCTCGTGAACGCCTTCCAGTGGATCCAGTACAGCATTATCACCAACGTGTTCACGCAGTACTACGGGGTGACCAACGACAAGGTGGACTGGCTCTCCATCGTCTACATGGTGGCCTACGTGCCGCTCATCTTCCCCGCCACCTGGCTGCTGGACCGAAAGGGTCTGCGCTTAACGGCCCTGCTGGGCGCCGGCCTCAACTGCGCCGGCGCCTGGCTGAAATGCGCGAGCGTGAACCCCCAGCTGTTCCCAGTCACCGTCACCGCGCAGGTCATCTGCTCCGTGGCGCAGGTGTTCATCCTCGGCCTGCCTTCCCGCGTGGCTTCGGTGTGGTTCGGACCCCGAGAGGTTTCCACCGCGTGCGCCACGGCAGTGCTCGGAAACCAGGTCAGCGCGTGCGCGTGTCACAGATTATTGATAGGTTAGGGTTTGTGTGGAGTTTAGTGAGCAGACCGAGTCAGGGGGGAAGAGAGACGTGATTCTATTTTAGTGATCATTCACAGTTTTTACAGCAAATGAACAACAAATACTATAATAACAGCCAAGAATTCACTGACAATTATTGACCCCTCAAAAATTATTGTACCCACGAACGAATAGTTTAAATTCCAACATTTTCATTACTAGAAATAGAAAAATTATAAAAACTATAGGGACCAGTGGAGCATACTAGGACTAATAAAACCTAAGAATAGGCCTATAGTAGATGAAAAATAATTCCTTAGCCACAGCCAACTAATGGACAACACTATCATCACCAGATTATCAGTTCTTTATATGCTCAGTTTAGCAATAGTAATATTTGTGTAAGTAAATAATCTCTTCTTCTCTCTCTTCCTGTGCCTTTTGTTTGTAGTTGGGGACAGCCATTGGCTTCTTGTTGCCTCCTGTTTTGGTTCCTAACACCCCTGATAATGTTGAACTCACAGGTCACAACATCATGATTATGTTCTACGGTACAGCTGCCGTCTCCACAGTCCTCTTCGTCCTCGCAGTGATAGGTACACATTTAATATCACACAGTCGCACGCTGGCTTACATTATGCAAAGCAGCATACGTTGTCTTGGTACTGCCAAATGTTTCAGTTGCCAGGGAGTGGTGCTCAGACTCAGACTGTTGTGTTCTGTTGTGTACATGTGTACAGAGGCCTGCAGGTACAAAGAACACTGGCACACCTCTGCTTCCAGGTACACAGGTGTGCAAGTATGCTTTTGCGCATCTAAGGGCCAGGTTGTCTTCTTGAGACTAAGATTATTGTAAATATCCTAAAAAACACTAAGCATCCAGTTCAGGATCATGAATTGGGTTTGAGATTAAGATTCTGCATCATTCTGTAAAGTGGGGTTAATAGTAGGTGTCTTTAAATAGCTATGACACCGTATGTAAACACACAGTGTTGAAACTGCAGCTGGTTTAAAACGAACCAATCAAGAGTTGACATATTATTAGAGTTCCATTGCAGTAATTTCAGGAACTCCTGGTTTTGGCAGGAGTTCAGTCATTTCAAACTGCTGAGGCAGCTGACTTCCTGAAACTACCTCAGACTCTATAACAAATCTCTGATTTAACCTCATATTTGAATCGAGTCAAAAATAATCTAAATAAATAGTTTATAATTCAAAATGTGGGCTGTATGTATGCAGATGTGTATTATTTACATTTGATACCACATATCAATAATTTCCTACCTTTTCTGGTTCTTGTATGCTCACAGAGGCTCTGATTGATTTTCTTCTCACATAAAAGGTCCATCACTTCATTGTTTCTGCCTTTTCCACAGTCATAAAAGACAGACCTCCTCTCCCTCCCAGTCAAGCACAGGCTGTCTTACCAGACTCCCCTCCTGAAGATTACTCTTACAAACAGTCCATCCTCAACCTGGTGAAGAATAAAGCCTTTGTCCTGCTCCTCATCACCTATGGCAAGTGTAAAACACCTGACTTTTACATTGTTTGTCTTTATTTTTGGTAACATTTTGGAGACTCTTTCAGGTCAGCAGATCTAATACATTACCATTAGTCAAAACAAACCCTGGCCACACTCAGCATATTCAGCCCTGATATTTCCTACAATTATTTGATATGATATGAAGCAGGAGTCCAGTAAAGATTGCATAATACTACGATTATTACCTATGTTATCCTGACTTACGGCCTATGCTATTATCATCATGATGAATAGTAGCAACTTCTTCTCAACCACCATTATCACCTATACAGATTATCATTACAATGTCACAACCTTATCACTATAAAGTTACTCCAGATAGCAGCATTACCCATAGCACTGCTACACATATTTTCTTTCATTTGGTATGCTTTCTTTTTATGCTAAAACTACTCCTCTACGCACACCTCTGTTTCTGCATTCTTAGAAAACAGCTGACCGCTGTCTCACCTTTGATAAGCTCCATTAAACAAACACTGTGGCACCAAGGTTGAATTTCATAACCTTTTTTTGCTAGTGTGTAAATTTCAAGATGCTTGGGGCAATTTGTTCTAAAGAGAGCGGCACTGGGACGCTTAAATAATAATAACTGGATATGCTAATGATAACTGGGATGCTCACTTCATCTTCTCTCCAGGTGATATTTAAAGAGTCATTAATAAAACACTGTCTGAAAATCACTGAGGGTATAAATCACATCCTTTATAAAGAGTATGAGTTGAAACCCTCAAGAAAAAGGTACAGGGTATCAAACTGTACCTTTTAAATAGATAGAATTTTCATAAATAGATAAAAATGTTTCAGTGCCTTTCTTAATCAAATTCTTTAATAGTAACAGGTGAAATTATAAATCAGTGCTTGTACTTGTGTGTTATCTTACATGACGTGTTTTCCTCATTTGTCCAAGACAGTTTTCCCCTAAAGGAGACAATAAAGGCTAATCTAATCTAACACACACACACACACACACACACACACACTGGAAGTAATTACAATGCAGACAAACAGAGCTGTGCATTTAGTAATTTTCCATCAAATAAACATTAACTTCTAAAGTCGCAGCAATTCATTCTTGTGCTCTGTAAGTGAAATCAGTCTGAGGCCTCTGCATCAAGCACAAATTGTGCACCCTACATGAGTCCTACTGCACTGGCAAGAGGACATTGTGGGCTTTGTAGTGATGTATCCTATCTGAGAGTTAGGCTAACAGATCACATATTTTCTAAAATCATATCCGATTGTTTCTTCGATATGGGGTGCCTTAATTAAGTTTAGTAGGATTTCAGAAATATACATCAGTTTTACCCTTTTAAAACAAACCTTTTATTCCGTGTCCTTGGCACTAGACGTGGAGTAACTGACTTGCTAACTCTTGGTGTCAACCTACGTCCCTCC